GTGCTGACCAGGCAATGTCATGGTAAAGCGTAGGGGTCAGGGAGAAACCAACCCAGGCGAGTCTAGGGAAGGCACTGGAGTGGTGATCCACCCACGAATCCCAGGTTTCTCTTGGGCCAAAACAGTAGCTGAGATAATAAGGAACAGTGGCAAAAGCAAGGCCCATCTCACGACCTTTATGGAGCCCGTCTCCCAAGTCAGACACCTTCACGCCCTCCCATGCCTCAGCCCTTGGAAATAAATGCTGGTAGAGTAGCAACCAGAAGTGACATGGTGGAAATGGCCCACTGGAAGAAATGTGATAGAAGACATGAACAGCACATGGAAACTGCCAGAGAGGGACAGTAGAACTCCATGAAAAAGGATCACCGGAAGTGGACTTTGGTCTGCAGCGTGGGAAGTGGGAGGCTGCTAGTGGCCAGACCTGTGGTGTGGACTTGCCTGGCAACAGCAGGAATAAGGAGCAAAAATGTACCCTGAGCCATCTTCTTTGTTTCTTTACCTGCATTTTTGAGTCTCTGTGTTTTAAGAGTATTTAGAAAACACAGAATTCACAACAAAATGCGTATACCTCTGGAATACATCATGTTAAAATAACACATAATTATCAACAGTGTGCTAGAGTGGTTTTAAATAATGTGAACTCTCAGGTAATAGGAAAGAATGTCTTAACATCCTCTGCTCTACCTTTAATAGATTGTAGCTTCATTTTAAGTTACATGAATATTCCATGGGCAATTCTGCTTATAGATAGCATGATAAATAAAATCATCTCTTCCATGGTTCCAGAGAAAGTAGCACTAGCTTGCCAGGAACAGAATGACAAATGTCCATGAGAGACTGTCAAAATTACTTTGCAGGGCTGAAATCTGACTCACTGAATATGCTGAAAGTGGCTGCTTTCTGGGCTCATGCATGGACGTCTTATATGTGTCCTATTTGTTGTAATGGAGTAAATTCTCATTCCTTTCCAAACTCTGCACATCTCAAGGAGTGCTTACAAATTTAAACAAATAAAATAAAACAAAAACATCAAAGAAAATGTCTCAAAAACTGAAACCTAACACCTCATTCTCCCCACTCCCAAAATACCACACACAAGCTCTGGGATATTAAAAACAATCAGAAGGGGCCAGCGCTGTGGCATAGCAGATAAAGCCACAGCCTACAGCACTGGCATCCCTTATAGGTGCTGGTTCAAGTCCTGGTTGCTCCACTTCCAATCTAGCTCCCTGCTAATGTACCTTGGAAAGCAGCAGAAGGCTCAAGTGCTTGGGCCCTGCACATACATGGAAGACCCAGAAGAAGCTCCTAGCTCCTGGCTTCAGACCAACCCAACAGCTGACTGTTGGTAGCTCTTTGGGGAGTGAACCAGCAGATGGAAGATTCTCTCTCTCTCTCTAACTCTGCCTTTCAAATAATAAATAAATCTTAAAAAAGAAAAACCACAACAACCAGAAACACCTGCTGGAGTTGTTATCTGTAGACTTTTCAGGTAAGAGCTGAACCAAGACAAGTCTGTCAAAAAATTGCAGCATTTTGGAACTTCAGAACTAGAAGAGATCTCAGAAAGTTTATGTTCCACAAAAGAAAGAAACAACCTTCAGCCAGACACTGGCAAACTCTGTCTGTAAGGAGCTAGATAATAAATACAGTTGGCCCTCTGTGTACATCAGTTCTGTCTCTCTGGATCCAACCATTGTAGTTCAAAAATATTTAGAAAAAAAAAGTTGCATGTGCAATGAACATATACAAACTTGTTCTTCCTTGTCATGACTCCTTAAATGTGACAGTATAGCAACCATTTGAATGTGGTTTACTCTTTCTTTAGGTGCTATATGTAACCTAGAGATGATTTAATGTACACAGGAAGATGTCCATAGATTTACTCAAATGCTCTGCCGGGTTGTATAAGGGGCTTGAGTATCCCTGGATTTGGACATCCAAGGAGCATCTTCTGGGGCTATCTAGAGACAACTGGAATTTTAAAGGATTTGTGAGCCACATTCTCTCTCAACTGCATTATTCTTTTTTTTTTTAACTGTTTACAATTAGAAAACCATTCTTAGTCTGGGGCCATAAAAGCAGGTTGAGGGTGAGATCTGGGCTGTGGGTCATAGCCTAACAATTCTTGCTTCTGGCCAAACTTGAGGACTAGCAACTCTTCTAAATGTCCCAGCACCCTTACATTCTGCTTTAGTGCTGAGGCCTCTCTGGGCTGGTATACCAGTAGTTCCTGTGGGGCAGCTGGCATCAACTCACTGGAACTCACCCTGTGATGTCACTGTAATTCCTCAGGTGCAGTTAAGGCTGCTGATGTTTATGGGAAAAGAGTTAATGACCCACATGCAGAGACCATCAAGGACTGGGAAGACTTCAGAGATGCCCTGCTTTGATTAGGAACTTTTCCCAAGGGCTTTTCTGCCAGTCAGTATTTAAATGTGAGAACTGGAGGATTCTATCCTGGCTTCATGACCCATCTACCCAGTCAGCTCGGGACTTAGGTGGAAAAATAACACTATCACCATCCCATAGTCGTTCCATAGTGTCAACAGACTTCCAAGCAGCCCCACAAATTACGTGCCACACTGTCAGAGTTCAAGACAAGTGGACAGTCCTTGAGGTTTAACTTTATTCCAATTACTGGGCAAAGTGGTAAAATAAATGGGGTCAAGCTTGGTGCCATTCTTGGATGGGAGATTATCCAAAAGCAACATGGCATAAACACTCCAATATTGCCTGAAGAGGAAGCTGGGGCACAGATAATCCACAGTTACTCCTGTTTCGTTGGAGAATGCATTACGTGATTGTTTCCCTCAGTAGCTTTCCCTTCATAATTAAACTTCGCTTAGGCCAGTAGTAAATAAAGCAGGTCAGCATGCCTGCTATTCCTGGTGATGGAGCAACATAAGCAAGGGGCTGGGGAGAAGCTGCTAGGAAGTGGGGTTTGGGCAGGACAGTGAGAACAGTATGGCGATATGGATGATAATCCAACAGAGCGTCATACACCACCATACAGGCCATAGCTCAGGACACCCCAAATAACCTCCAGGTTGCTTTGGGAGGATCAAGGATGATCAGCCTCAATCTCATCCCTTGGTTTTGACTCCAAGATCTTTGTTCTGTCAAATAATATTTCCTATTTTAATGGAATTCTTTTGGTCCTTTCTCTATAATTATTCTTTACAAAACTAAGGATGGGCTGTACAGTCGTATTTGTGGGTTCAGCATCTGTGAATTCAATCAACTGCTGATCAAAAATACTAAAAACAAAACTGCAACTATATTGAACATATACACACTGGTTTTTTTCTTGTCAGTATTCCCTAAGCAATGCAGTATAATGCCTATTTACATAACATTTACATAGTATTAGGTCCCATAGAAATCTAGAGAATATTTAAAGCACTCGGGAAGATGTGCATATGTTATATGCAAATACAATGGCATTTTACGTAAGGGACATGAGCATCTTTGGGTTTGGGTATCTGTCAGGAGTCCTGGAACTTGTCCTCTGTGGATACCAAGGGCTCACTGGATTTTTGAGGCTACATAAGAGCTCATCAAGGAGTTTGAAACTCCCTCTATGAGAAAAGTCAATATTTTAGAAGGCCCAGCAATAGATTTTAGCATGAACTCACAGAGTCTTGGAAATCTGCTTGGCCCCTACCAACACCTAATGGGACTTGAGGGTGGGTCAAGGTGATAAGACTGAAGAGGCTGTCCATACTCGAGATGCTGGCCTTACTCAAAGGCAATTCCAGGAGTCTCCACGCAGATTATCTCACACACCTTCAAGTCACTGAGAATGACAAATCTCTGAAAACAGTTTTTAAATGAAAGGAAATGTAGGGGCCTGGAGGCCACACACTTCCATCTTCTGCCACCTCCTTCAGCACTAGCTCATCTCGCTGCCTTCAGCCCAACCTGTTCTTGGTAAATATATTACCATTTTTCAAAGAGTCACCTGGAGAACCAGCCAGACTCACACACAACAACAAAAGCAACAACAAATCCCAATGAAAAAGACTTTTATGATCAGAATCACCCTTGGGAATACTTAAAAGACAGTGTTGGGAACTTGGTTGGTCAAGCAAGGGGGGAAGGTAGCTATATCATCTGAAACAGCTACCTGGGTCCTAAAAGAGGGGAGATGTACATCTGATAGAGGTTAAACCATAATAAAAATGCTGATTGTTGAGGAGTGGCCCAGGTGGAAGGTGTGCCACCCTATATACAGGTATATAGGGTCTGTCTTAGTTGGGACAGATATGAACCACCTCCCAGAAAAACCCACAAACTTCCTCACTGGCCACCCCACCTAAGGCAACAAATAAAGTGAGCAGCAAGTAATAATGACTTGTGCCAATTCAGTCAATAAATTGTTTATGAATTTGAAAAATTAGTCTTTATAATCCCAGTAAGGGAGTTGCCATGTCTCCATGGGCACTGCTGAGATTTAGATCTGCAAAGAGGGCCCTGGGAGAAAGCTAAAATGGGCTCCCTGGAGAGTTCTACTGAGATAATTAAGCTGCAGCCCAGTCACCAGGGAAGAAGTGGCCCCATGTGGAAGCCGGCTGCATTCCCAGGGCCTCCAGACTCGTGGCTTCAAGCTGTGCATCGTGACCAGGACTCCAGAGACTTTAGAGAATGCAGTTGTCCTCTATTCTAGAATCACAGAATTTAAAAAACTAGAACAAAGCCCTGAGATGAATGTCACCACTTTTCAGGTGAGCGAAGTACAGCCCCACGAAGTACAAGTGGCCAGAGCCAGACGCTGTGGGCTCGGCCCCTTCCACTGCCCCCTGGCATCAGGTTGTTGGCTTCCTTCTCTGCAACAGATGACTCCACAGTCCCAGAGCTGTTGCAGGCTGGTGTTTCCTGATACAGTCAGACTTGGGGCAGGAGGAATCACTTTCTCTTTTTCAAACCAGCTTTACATTGAATCTGTGTCCCAATTCTGATGAGAGCTCCCTGCTGGCTTGTTTGTTTATCTTCCTACTGGGGCTCAGCAGGAAATGATGCAATAGTTGAGCTACTGATGATGTAGCAGCATTTACTCAGCTCTGCAAGTGAGTAAGTGAATGCTTATGCTTGGGTTGCATTTACACTGCACTAACGCACTCATGCAGATTCATTTAATTCCCATAAGGACTCTGTAAGGTAGGCCTGCTTATGTTGTCTGTTTTACAGGTGAGGAAACGGAGGGACAGAGGAGAGAAGACACTTGCCCAGGTTTTCCTGCTAGAGCTGGAATTCGATCCCAGGGCTCCCAAGTGTATGCTCCCAAATTCAATGCAAGAATTGACCAAAGACCAAGGACAGTGGCAAGACTCCTCAAAAGATTTACCTATTAAGATTTCAAGGTGATGCTTTTCTATAAAATAATACCTAAAGAAACATTTCCTTTCTTGCCTGAGAATACTATCAAATAAAGTAGAAACTAGAGCTTTCTTATCACAGATGTCATTCTTACAGACTCAGGTCCGAGATGAGGGCCTTATCCTCACGATGTCAAATACCCCAGTCCTCCATTTACACAAACACTGAAACATCTGGGCAGTAGGGTGGGTCTGCCCATTTCTTATTTGGCTGCTAGGTTCTCTAGACACGGATTTGCCAGAGCACTCCCCAGGAGTCTGATAAATTGGTCTCACAGGCTCATTCTAACCAATAAGAGCTACTGAGATGCTACTCAAGAAACCCAACTTTTGAAGATAAATTTCGCGGGTAGGCAAAACAGTCCCGTTGGGTGTGAGCATGAGGCACAATCACCACACTGAGGCCTGAGTGCCCACACCTGGAATTCTGCTCTGTGCTTTAGTGACTGTAACTGTCCACCCAAATAACACAGGGTGGAAAGCATGTTAACAGAAGGGCAGCGACAATGCGCAGGGGCAGCCCACTTACTGTATGAGATTAGGCTTTTAAAAAGGATTAGACCTCCTTAATCTGGAGAGATGAAGATTAAAAGGGAGTAATGATCAAAGTCTATAAAATCGGAAAGGAAATGGAGAATATGGCCAGCACCCTGTTGACAAAGCTCAGGATATTATAACAAAGGACATCCCTGTGGAGTTCCAAGGGAATCCTTTAAGAACCACAAAAAGTAGATGCTATTTTTCCCAGCAGGCAACAAATAATTATCTTGAGGAGTGGCATATTCTCAGAATGAGGTTAAGTTTTTAAAAGGTTTAAACAAACCTATGGGTGATAAAACCATAATGATCTAATACAAGGAAGTTGGAACACTCTGAGTCGTTCAAAAAAAGATTCAATCAGGGACATATATGAGCCTCTCGGTCACGCTCCCTGCCCACGGACCTGCCCACCTCTCTCCTACCCTCCTCACTGGGCTGCTGCTCAAATTCAGAACAGGGCTCATGCTTATTCCTGGGCCCATCTTTGGTGAGTAGTTGGAAATCTCAGGCAAGTCATTCCCAGGAGGGAGTTTCTGTCGTTCTTAACAGGGCAATGATCTGACCATGATTCCTATACAAATATGAAATATTCCTTTAACCAGACCTCAAAACTAAAGCTATGTTCTACTCAAAGACAGAGACATTTAAAACACCTTATGCTATTGTGATTAGGGGCTAAAAACTAGTTCAGTTCTCTACTGGAGAAGCTGCTTGTAACATGCTAACACAGATCAATTAATTCATGTCAAAGGGAAAATTTAAACATACCAAGATACTAGGCTCTAAAACTGAACTGCAGTTAATGTAAAAACCAGTACACCTTCACAAATGCTGGGACTCTGTTTTAAATATACAGAATAAAAACTTTAGTGAGAGAAGTGTTTCGTTGAGTTCCCAAACAGCCAAGAGTTAATCACCTTAAGTATCTAATAACAGCTCATTGTTTCTGGGGAGAGCAGGCCTGCGGTAGGTGAGGGCATTTTGGTAGAGGGTGCAGTGAGATGCAGGTTACATTCAGAGAGACGGAACCTTGAATGCTGGCAGTGTTCACGTGTACAGCAAGTCATGAAGAGTATTTTGTGCACCCACGGCTCACACTGTTTTCTGAAAACTGGTAAAATGTGGCAATGGGCAGGAGCAAATAAAAAAGCCAAGGCAAGAGGGTGCGGGGCTAGGAGGCGGGAATGGAGAGAGGCCTACGGGTAACACGCCGTATCTAATAACCCCTAATTCCAACCCTGCCTCCCATTATAAAGTGGAAGCCACCATTAGGGGGCTGTTCCAACTGCGAGTTTGAAAACGTTCGGTCCTTACAGTTGGGAGCTATTCAAAGTCACAATTCACGTGGGGAATGAGAAAGTAGGAGAGGTGCTAAGGGGTGGGGATGGGTTCACAGGTGAAGAGTCACCTTGTGCTCGCTGTGGACTTCGGTGCGATTTGGGCCAGGAAACGGGGACATCTGCAGTGCAGAAGTTGAGGAAAATGGGGAAGAACCGGGAAGATGAATACATGATCATCAGCTACACAAAAGAACGGAGCAAAAAGAAGCCTGGATTTGGGCACTCGTGTCTGGCAAGGAGGCCGGCAGCAGGGCTAATGAAGCATTTGCGGTGTGGGACGTTTGCCAGCGCAACAAAGAAGATGTGCTCGGGCTCTGCAGATGTGCCAGGGCCCCCAGAGCAAAATAATGACATAATCACCATCAGTGTCACAGACCAGACTGTACACAAGGTGACAGGGGAGGGGAGGCCTGTAAGACACACACAGGGAGGACTCGCCATGGCCCACGATGGCTGCGGCCTGGAGGCCTGCGAGGCAAGGCAAGACCACCTCCCTCCAGAGCTGGCTCTGAATTTTAAATCCCAGGGTCAGGCAAGCACCCGTCTTTGGTGGGTGTTTGCCAACCAATCCCAGCTACTCCTCATCAGTAGAAATCTGCAAAGCTCAGGAGACACTGGACTGAGCGAAGGAGGCTGAATGAAGAAAGAGGAGCAAAAGGAGATGGAGCAGCAGAGTTGTGAGTCGAAGTCCCCCTGTTTTCTGCTGGAAGTGCCCCAACTTCCATGAACCTGACCTTAGCCAACAACCTCAGGTTTAGATATTATCACGGATGTCAACACTGCATCCTGTAAAGAACATGCTAGAAATATTTGGGGGACCAGTTTTGGGGACACAGAAGAGCAATACGTGGGCCATCTCAGAGTGAGCACAAAAGCACCATTAAGGCATGGGAAAGCCAGCCCTGCTCATCTGAAACAAGGTCTCTCAGCAGGCCCTGTCACCTGCCAGGCTCTCGCTCTGTAAGGTGGGTGTGTTAGTACAGCTGTCTGGCTTGTAAGTGACTTTTGTCAGTTTGAAAGTGAAAGTCTGTTTGAGGAGCTGAAAGAACAATAGCTCGGAGCCGGGAAGAAGAGCTTGTAGCACAAAGGACTTGGCCACACTAGTGTCCTTTTCATTGCTTCTCATGAAAGATTCATAAGAATAACTTGAATTTTTTATGACCCCTTTTTGGTATGACTATATTAGTTGTGTCAACTTCCACATTCAGGTTCTCTTTAAATACCAAAAGGTCTGTTGTGAAATTGTTTTCAAACAGCCATGGGGAATGGAGTCGGTCGCGGGCCGGCCTGGAGCCAGCCTGTGGGCCTCTTCCTCCCAAACAAATTGCTGTGGGGGGCAGAGATTTCTTTTCAGTGTGGTCGCCTTCAGCCTGGAGGTTGTCGGGAACACGACAGCGTACCCACTTTAAGCCTGACTCATCTGCTAGTTCAACTGCTCTCCATGCCTTCGCCCTACTTGCCAGGAACAGTGGTATAATGATCTTTAATGGACACTGCTCCGCTGCCTGCTTCTGAAGTAGCTGTCTCCACACTGCATCTTTATTTTGTGTCTCAACCCAAAATGAAGTGGGCAGGGACAGACCGGTTTTGTTTTATGTCACATTACCAAATAGCACCAAAGACGGACATATGGCATCCCTGAAGGTAAAACCATGTTTTAAAAACTAGAATCTTCCACTTTCAAGAATTAAAGTCTGACGCTTCACCAAAAATGATGTTTGCAAAAATATTTATCGTTGCAAATTGATATCCCTGTCTTTAAGGAGCAATGAGTGCATGATCATTCAAATTTCTGCCTTATGACTGACAGAAAATAAAAAATAAAGTTAAATCATATCCCAGAGTGCAGGGGAGTCAGGAGCAGGGAATGAGGAGACCTGATTTAAAACATTGTCTCCCACGTGGAAAGGGATGGTCAACTTTGAGGCAGCTTTGGTTTGCTAAATGAGTTTGTTTCATCTGGATGAAATAAACAGGCCGGCTTTCAAAAGGTTGTTAGAACTTCAGACATTTAATCCAGGATGGGCTGAACAACACAATGATCGCATCCCACCAGCGGCAGCCACAGCTACGGCCACCACCAGTGGCTCTCTGAAGAGAACTTGCTCCTCTCCCCTATTGCTAACCCTTTGTGGGGCAAAGAAAAGGCGCCGAGGCAAGGAGAACTGAATGTCAGACAATAGACATCCTCCACACCCTGTTCCTGAACTTTCCTCATCTCTGAAGGACAATTAATTATGAAGGCCTTAGGGGGAGGTGGAAGGAAGGGAAAACCCACCACTGCCCCAGCACCCCCGCCGCCACCTCTGTGTTTGCTAAATGCTTTGCTAGCTGGGGTACAGCCACTGAGCGAGCCAATAGCCCATGTGAGTGAGTGAGTGTGTGTGTGTGTGTGTGTGTGTGTGGTGGGGGGGGAAGGATGAGGGAGGAAAGCAAAAGATTTTTTTTGTGTGTGCGCCTGCCCTTGTATAATTCTATTCTCACTGTGAACTCATCCATACACAAAACACAAGGACAATTTTTTTTTTTAAAGAGAGAAAAGCCACAGGGTAGGTTACAGTCAGAAACGGGCTCTCAGTGGTGTGTTAAAAAGGATGGTCTTTTCACCAAATCATTTCACAGAGGCAAAACAGACAAACACAAAGAGTTGAGACTTTTTCTCCTACATTAAATGGAGTAACTGATAAGGTCAGACATATGATACCTAAAGACATGAATCTGTGAACTCTTGAAGTCAAAGGGCCCCTCTGTGCCGAGGAACAATCTTTCAAAGGAAACAGATCATAGAACTCCACTGAATCCCCTTTAAACTTTATGAAGCAGGAGGAGAAAAAGCTCTAAGTAGGGAAGCTTGACAGAAGAGCCTTGAACTATTTTCTGAAGGAAAGATGAGACCCTCCCTAGGCTGCCACAAAACATCTTTTTTTTTTTTCTAAAGGCTCCTCTGAACTTTGATATGTGCCAAGACACTGCTATTGAAAGCTGTATAATTATGTGCTATAGCCACTGTCGAAAATGCTTTGTTCACCCCAACAAAGGACAATAAGCAAAGTAAAGCGACATTACACTGTATCTTTTTCTTTAAGAATGTTGAGAAAGGTCATGGAATGCTATAACTAATAAAGCTGTTGAGTAAGGAGGTTTTAAAGTTGATCTTACTGTGCTTGAATGTAACCCAATGACAAAAAAGACGCAGGGAGCTAAAAATGCGATGACATTACCAAATAGATGATAAATCAATGGGCCCGCTTCATTATACTGATGAACACCTTGAATCCCAAAAGGACAGCAGCGCGGCATGGAAGCCTCCCGTGTGCCCAGGAGGCCACGTCCACCCCGCCCCCAGCCCTTCCACCCCTCCTCCTGGCTGGAGCCTTCACTGCTCTCTCTTTCCATTGCAGGCACTCGTTCTGGAGAAGGAACACGTTCCCAGCCAGCCATGTGTGTACATATATTTAGAGAACATTCATTTAGTCTCTTAAAAGATCAATTTGGCTTGTCAATGGCAGGACTGGCACGGGAAGAAATGGTAAGGGTTTCTTTGCTTCCTCGCCACCCACCAAGAGTGTGTTATGCGATCATTGAAACGGCTCAGCAGCTCCGAGGCCAAAAGACGGCAACAGCAGTAAAAGGCTTTCCCTCACGTGCCAGTTTTCCAAACGATCACTCATATTTAAGTATCTATTTGGAGCAGAGGGAAGCGCTTCCTAAATCCACCTGTCCTCATTTTTCTTTAAAGAGATGACAATGCGAAGGAAAGACTTCCAAATGCATTAAATCTTCTTAAACATGGGTTTTGCAGAAAGTGGGAATGGGCTTGGGAATTGGGGCAAGCATGGAAGTTGAGAATTTATTCAGAAAGGGTGCCTGTGTTTGTAGAGGGGGTGGATGTTTCTATTTTGTGTTTCCAAGAGGAAAGTGAGGAGCCCCATAAAGAGGGCTGCGGAAGCACCCTTGGCTGTCCAAGGTTACCTGGCAAATGTCAAACCTACAGGCTCCACGATGGAGCTGCTTCCCCAGGGGGATGCTGTTCCCACCAGCACCTTGGAGAATGGGGTTTGCAAGCCCATTAAGAAATGACTCAAGTTCCTCATTCTGTGTATTTCTAAGCCTTCCATCCCCAAACCTGGGTCTTTTGTGAGGGGAGGTTACTCACTCTTGCTGGGAGCTTGGATTCCACCTATGGGGTAAATGACCAGCACTGAGGGGCCTATGAGAGTTGCCAGGCCACAGGGCCAGGGAGAGGGGAAGCTAACTCCTGGTGCCCCAGAATAGGAAAGGGTACTCAGTGCACCCTGACGCAGGTGTCTGTCACATTCACTTCTCAGCTGACACACAGGCCAACCCCCGAAGCTCAAGCTTGAGATCATGTGGCCTTTCTCAGCTGCACCATATGAAGTGGCCAGCTTGGGTCATGCCGGCAAACCTAGGGTGCTGTGTCTTTTGCCCTTTAGCAGTGCAAATAATCTTTGTGCGTGACCCAAGTCAACTGCCTCCGTTGAGTTCTTTGCAAAGCAGGTGAACTAACCTTGGAAAGCCATCATGACTATAACCTTCCTTCCCTGCTACTGTTGTGAGGGAAGAAAAAAAAAACCGCAATAAAACCCAACTCTAAGGGCCCTAAAGTCAGAAATATCAGTATGATTTAAAAACTGGGAAGGAGTCCCAAACCTCCTTCCCCTCCCCATAAAATTTTTTTGTTGGAAGCTCTTCAAAGTGAAGTGAGAATGAAGCATGGCAATATGTACCATAACACCTGGAAAGACAAATTTATTGTTGCCAATCTCATTAAATGTGAGAAGCAGGAGTGAAAGATGCAGCCCATAACCGAACACCCCTCTCTGCACACCTTTGCAACCTCACATTCAGAAGCGAGACGCCCCACCCAGTGTGATGCACTTGAGCGCTAACCAAAAGTGGAGTTCTCCTTTTTTTATTTTTTACCCCCTTCAGTGTCTTCCTCTACATCCGCTGGGTCTTCTCAAACTTTCACCACCCTAAGTCTGGATGCAGTGCCAAGAATCTTGGCAATTGTGCAAACTGATACAAAAGACAGAACCAGCTCTTCTGCCACTTAGACGGTCCTGACGCATACAGGGCAGGAAACTAGGGTCTAGAAGAGGCGAGAGATGCACGCCACTCCCACTTTCCCAGTGATAAGCCCTCCCCATCTGCTCTGTTTTCCTGTGGGCCAGGGGTCAGCAACCTCCCAGCCTTGAGAGGCATCAGCAGCAGGATCTGGACGGGGGTGGTGCTATGTATGACAGAAGTGCCACCGGCAAGCTTGTAACAGAGGCAGAGGTGGAGCAGAAAGCTAAATAGAGACAAGGAGTAGAGACGAGAAAGGAGGAAGGAAAAAGTTACAGTGAAGGAGGGAATGCAGGCACCATCCTTCAAGCCCATTCTCTCTCCCCGGCTCTGCTGGCCCGTGCCCACTTAAGAATTGCTTTACAACCAGCAAAGCTTTAGGCGAACTGAAATATTCCCTGTGACTCTCTGGGTATCTGCGGTTATTATTACTGTCTGCATTAAATAAGATAGTATTGGCAAAGCACTTAGAAGAGTGCCCTGAACCTTAGGAAACAGTTCATCAATGTTAGCTATTTTATTATTCCTACAAACGACTGATGGAGAAGTTTTAAAAATGCAATCAATACATTTCATTACGTGACCAGCTAATACTCAGGTGGACTGGCATATTCCTTTGCAGTGACTGCATCTCTGGGCACCAGGTCGTCATCACTGCCGAGCCTCTCTACCATGCTCCATCTGTGTTTGAAAATTAGAAAAAGGAACATGGTGTACAGTCTTCCAGTTGGCCATCCTCTTCACTCGCTCAGACTGAAACTACAGGTTTGTGGGAGTTCATCTGGAGGGGAGAGACTGAGATAAAAAAGTAAAGCAGGACACACACCCTCAGCTGAGGTATTCAGCTCGAGGTGCCGGCTGCCTCTACTTTTGGCTCGCCGCCATTGCCCATGCTGGTAAAGCTACAGTGATAAGAGCAGTGGCTTTTTAAGCATCTCACTTAAGCAGTGACCTCCATGCACAAAGGCTCGGAAAAGGAGGGATCACCTTATCTAAAGCTTTTGTTACTAAATGTGCCAAAGTGAGAGGCTACAGTAAAAACTGTTTAGTGATATTAGGATCATATATGGTGTGCGTCTGTGTATCGTGCGTGAGCTTGGGAGTGGGGGAGCAGGGTACAGTCTGTGTTCCTGCTTCTTGTTTCCCATGTTTTCAGAAAGAGCCTAATCTTTGGTGAAGGAGGAATTAGACCCAGAATAGTCCAATAACTTGTCCCAAGTCACATGAGAAGTGACAAAATCCCTGCCCAGGCCCCATACTCCTTGCAGTGTGGCAATCTTAAAATAGACCCTGCAGATAAAGGAGAGGTGGCCTGGCTGGGAGTGGGTATGATTCACAAAGAAGGAAATATCAGATATTAATCATATTAAAGGAGGATTTAGATTATGCTAAAAGGAGCAGCCTGTTGGGGACCTCTTGATGCCAGCGTCCCTTGTTTGTGTCATTTTGGCCCTTGGGCTATGAGTAGGGGATTACATTCCAACTAGGTAAGGCTTAAACAAGCCTGCCAATCCTAATGTGCACTTTAAGGATTTGTTCGAATTATACGACAGAAATGCAGGAATCACCTCGTGACTCTTGGACAATTCTTTTATGAAGCTAGATGTAAGGTGCCATGTGAATATTTATATTATAACATAACATAAATGATTCACCAGCATACAGTAGAAGTTTCTTAGTTTAAGGTTTAGAGCCGCAGACTTATCAGAAGGGTGGCACGGGGAAGAGAAGAGATGAAGCCCTCCCCAAGATTTCTTTAAAATGTTTAGCCAAAACCATTTCTTCAGCTTTGGAAGAAATGTGCCAGTGTTTTGTCAATGCAGTAAACTGCTGTGCTGTTACAACCAAGCCTTTAAAAACAGAGATTTAAAAATAGTATTCACAAAGAATCTCTCCCTTACATGCCTGGCAAGAAACAGTGATATAGGTTTTGGGTAGCAAAGATAATTGATAGCTTGTGATACAATAAGGCAAACTTTCCAGGAAAAAAGGTGACTTCTCCAAGGCTAAGCTTCCACATTGGGTCTTTATAAGCCTCAGTAAGTGATGGGCACAGCGCAGGGCAGTGTGGAGGAAGGCCTAGAAGGAATGATTCAACAGGGAGAAGACAAGGGATCAGGTCCCTTTGTTGAGAACGCTAGAACCAGGTGCCTCTCCTTCAAAAATGAGAACTTCCTGGGCATTTTTGGATGCCTCCCTAGACAAGGAAAGCAAGAGTTTTACCACAAGGTCTCTGCAACAAGCAGAGGTGTGAGAAAAGAGTTCTGCCTTTTAGGGTGGCACGGCAACTCGCCAAGATCCTACAAGAAGTGGACTCTGTCTGGCCAT